TTGTCAAACACTTCTATGTACGTGCCCAACACGTGGAGGTGGTCAGCTTGTTACATTTGCCATGATTTTAGTATTTTTCGTACCATGTTTTTATTTATTTTTTACTACGTGTTGGCCATGGAATACTAGAGTGTTTGTCGGATCTGTGTTGGATTACTGACTCATTTCAAGATGCTCCGGGCAAAGAAAAGAGCAGTACAAACGGATGAAGAGGAAAGCTCATGTACTGGAGGTGCCATGGTGAAGTCCAGTGTGGAAGAGAGTCTAGTCGAACACGCGCCTATGAAGACTGCGATGATGAGCTGCACTATGTCTCAGAAATGAAAACATATCCCAAAACATGGGAAAATTTTGAGACATACCTGAAAATATATCAAGAAGAAACGTGTACTGTGCTTGTCATTAGCGAGACTTTGAGCGTTCGTTTGCGAAACCGCCGTACTAAGCGCATGGAGATCCACGCTGGAAAAGATCCAGTAGAGCTGCCACTTGTACCCGAGCGTCTGGATCCAATCGTGGCGATACACAGTCCAATAGAAAAAGATGGCTACAACTACGGATTGTTCGTCTGTCTTTAATTCTGGTGGCGTTTGTCAAGGATGCTCAGCGTCGTTGGGATGTTTTCCGCTCTGTGGTGGAATTTAGCGATTCAGCAAGCTCGAACAATTCGGAAGACGTGAGTGAAAAGCTTCAATAACTTCGTCAATTCAGTTTTCATTGCTTTGCATGTTTTTACAATGTTTCGTCATGGTTTCAAAAGTTTACTTTGTGCCGACTCTCAGCCATTTTCCTCAGTCTTCATTTTTCGTGTCGTTCTGTTGGGCTCATTGTAATGTATTATGGCCATGTTTCACCATGTTGGTATTTTATTTTCGGAAACATGGAAAAACCATGAGCCAGTATGAAAAATCTACACGTTTTCTTTTACCCAACCCTTTTGAAAACAAGGCCCGTATGGGTCGCCATTTTTTAGCCCTCGGTCGTCCCTTCCATGTAGAATTAAATTCTCCATGGGAGGGACATCCTTAGAATTGTCAGTGCACAGTACTTTAAGTAAGCTTTCCGGTAATTGAACTTACAAAAAACGGGCTGCCCATCCCATTCCAGGGTTATCCAATGGCGAATCGAACTTAGTGTAGTCGCCTTAACCCCAACAAGAAAAAATTAAGGACAAAAATGAGGACCAAAAGTTGATGGCCTTGCTTGGCCTCAGTTTTGGTAGATGCTCCTGTGAGCATAAATAGAAATGTATCCCTGTATTAGCTCTCTACATCCGTGCTAGCAACTCTTTGCTAAACCTACGCGTTATTGCATGAGCTGCTGTGCCGTACGGAGTCTGGAATGATTTCCCGGATAGTGTTTTGTCCTTAAGTTAAGGACAAAAATCGTCAAATGGAATAGTATAATCAAGTTAATTTTTTATTCCATACAAAGTGGCGTCGGGTGTCTCAACTGTCATATCAGACACAGAGGCAATTGTGCTGGCGCGCTCGATTTTTGTCCTTATAATCGAGGTGTTAAGGACAAAATCACTCGAAATTTCACGATCTTGCATCTTATTTCGTCCTCATTTTAAGGACAAATTTTGTTGGGGTTAACGAAAAACCTCTCAAATGTAGCCATCTGTACCCGCAGGGTTATGTGTCGGGGTTACGACATGGCTTCCATCCATCCGAACGGAGCTCGTCAATCAGACCCAAAGCAGCCGAGTCCCCCGCTAAGTTCTCTCCATACGCAGCAACGATGGACGTGGCGAGTCTGCACAACATCCTGTTGCACACGTTCAGCAATGACGAGGCCGCACGCAAGGCCGCCGAAGAGGCCGTCGCTGGCCTGCACACCGTTCCTGGCTCGGTGCAGCTTCTCATCCAAATCACAGTCGAGGCCAGTGTGACGCGTGAGATCCGTCAGGCCGCTGCTGTGTCGCTTAAGAACCTCGTGCAAAAGTACTGGGAAGGAGCTGACGGTCCCGAGGGCCAATGGGTGCAGGTTATTAGCCCCGCCGACAAGGCGCTGGGTCGCCAGAACGGCCTCGAGGCGCTCCTCGTGTCGCAGGACTCGAGCATCCGCTCGCTCCTGGCCGAGACCGTCGCGTACATAGCGCGCTTCGACTTCCCCGTACGTGATGCCTCGGGCTAGAGCCTGGTAGTCAATTAATTGAATTAAAATCTTTCTATTGCAATGCAGGACTCGTGGCCGACGCTGATCGACGACATCTGCAAGAACGTCCAGAGCGGCGATGCCAACCGCATCATCAACGCGTTGCTGGCGCTGCGTCGCGTGGTCAAGAACTTCGAATACCGCTCGGAGGACCGTCTGGCTCCGCTCTTTAAGCTCGTGGAGGTGGTGTTTCCCATGCTGCAGAACATGATGGTGCAGATGCAGACCAACAACTCGATCGAGGCCGCGCACATGATGCACCTCATCCTCAAGACGTACTGGTCGTGTGTCAAGACCAATCTGCCGCCGCATATTGCGCAGACCGAGCAGGTTGTGGCCTGGATGAACATTTTCCGCTTGGTCATCGCCAAGCCGCTGCCCGAAGCCAGCGAAGGCGGCGAGCCCGCCGGCCAACCCACAGACGAGGAGGAACGCGGCAACTGGCCGTGGTGGAAGCTCAAAAAGTGGGCGTTGCAGATCCTTTGCCGCTTTTACACGCGCTACGGCAACCCTAAGAAGGCCGAGGAGGAGTATCTGCAGATGTCCACGGTATTCCGTAACCAGATCGCCCCGGAGCTTCTCCCCTGTGTGATGGAGACGCTCGCACTGCGCAAGAACGGCCGTTTCTGCACGGATCGCGTGGTGCAGCTCGCTCTTGTGTTCCTGCAGGAGGCTGTGGACTCGGCTGTGACGTACAAGCTCATCAAGCCTCATCTGGGCTTCCTGTTGTTCGAGGTGATCCACCCCGTGTTGTGTCTGACGCCTAAGGACTTGCAGCTGTGGGCGGAGGACCCGCACGAGTTCGTACGCAAGACTAACGACGTGTTTGAAGACTTTTTGGACCCTGTGTACGCCGCCGCCAACCTGCTCGCCGACCTGTGTACCAAGCGAGGCAAGGACTGTCTCCCCAACGTCTTGTCGTTCTACAACAACATCCTGAACACGTACTTGGCCACTCCGGACGATACGAAGGATTACATTCAGAAGGACGCTGCCTTGCACGCGCTCTTCTCGCTGGACGGCGTGCTGACCAAGTCCAAGGCCCACAAGGACCAAGTGGAGTCGATGATCATCACGCACATCCTACCAGAGTTCAAGAACCCGCACGGTTTCCTGCGACTGCGTGCGTGCAAAATCTTCTCGCGCAAGTACATTGAAAACATCAAGTTCAAGGACGAGCAGACATTGATCAACATTGTCAACGGCATGCTGGACGCCATGTTCGACCCGGAGCTGCCTGTGCGTATCGAGGCTGCCAAGACGATTCGCTTTGTCGTCATGTACCCGCACTCGGACACCGTCGTGGAGGTGCTGCGTCCTCGTCTGCCTCAGATCCTGGAGCAATTCTTCAGTCTCATGGACGAGATCGGCAACGACGAAGTCGTGGTCGCTCTGGAGCACATTATCGACCGATTCTCCACGGAGATCGGGCCGTTCTCGGTGCAATTGGTGGCCAAGTTCGTGGAATTCTTCGGCCAGTTCACTGCCGTCGCAGAGGACGACGAAGACGCGTCGCTGGCTGCTGTGTCGTGTCTCGATGCCATTAACACGATCCTCATGAGCATCCACAACCACCCGGAGCTGTACGCTCTGCTGGTGCCTACACTCGCGCCAGTGATCCACAAGATTCTCACGGACTTCGACTACGTCGAGTACATGGAGAGCGGCATCGATATCCTGGGCTCCTTGGCCTTTTACAGCCATAAAATCGCTCCCGAGTTGTGGTCGCTCTTCCCTCTGATCTTCGCGAGCTTCAACGACTGGGCGTCTGACTACTTGACCAACTTCGTGCCAGTCATTGACAACTTCGTTGGCCGTGACATCGACGGCTTCTTGGCTGGGTCGGCTACGAACCCTGCGACTGGAGCTAGCGTTCGGTACCTCGAGCTCGTCTTCAACATGGCCAAGACGGTCTTCGAGAGCGCCAGCGTGCAGGAGATCGACCTGTGCGCTGCCTGTCGTCTGCTCTACTCGCTGCTGCACAACCTGTTCGGCAAGGTGGACGAGTGCATTCCCCCCATTACGCTCATGGTATGCAACAAGCTGGCCGAGCCTCTTGTGGACTCCACCGCTCGCAATCTACTGGGTGTTTTCGGTAGTCTGCTGCACTACAACCCTGCTTTGACGCTGGATGCCTTGAACCAGCTTGGAGCTGCTGACGGCGTGTTGAAGATATGGCTGAGCGATCTGTCTCGCTACGACAACTACCTGGACCGTAAGCTCTTTATCCTTGGCGCCATGTCGATCCTGCGAGCGCCGGCAGACAAGATCCCGACGGCTCTACGTCCGCACATTAAGCAGCTGATCCAGGCTGCCATGAAGGTGTTGGCCGAGTCTATTCAGAACCCCGCTCCGGGTATCATTGACGGTGATGAAGAGGCCGAGGGCGGCGAGGAAGTGGAGCAGCTCGAGGAGCTGCTGGAGAACGGCGGCTACGCCTCGAACGAGGACGCCGAGGACGTGGTGGACGACCAGTACTACGCTATCCTACGCCAGCTGCGTGAGGAGGCCGAGGGTCAGTTCGGCTACGACGACGAAGGTGACGAGGACTACATCAGTCTGTTGGACGAGGTGGACGAGGTAGAATTCTTCCTGAACTCGCTGCAGGGCTTCGCTCAAGCGCACGCCCCGGAGTATCAGGCTCTGGGTCTTGAGGCTGATGCCACGACGCAACAGGCTCTTGTGCTCTTCCAGGCGGAACACGCCAAGAGGAAGGAGGCGCAGGCTCAGAAGACCCAGCAGTAAAGGGGGCGATAGGTTCCTGAGTAGGACAAAGCTGAAGACGGAGATATGAGGTTTTTAAGACATACTACATTTGTTGTTGAAAGATTCCAGTCGCTCTACGCTGTAGTGGCCTCTTGGAGCATGACACGATAAGCTTCAAAGTCGAAGTGGTCGGGTTTGTTGTTGAACTTGTCGACATGATCGTAGAGTTGGTCGTCCTGGTAGCTGGCTAGCAGTTGCTTTAGCAGAAGCTGCGACTCCTTCTTGTCAAGCATGTTGATGACGTCAGCACGGACTAAAGCGAGCTCCTTCTTCGTCAGCAAATCATCATACAGTGAGATGGCCACGCAGGGCGGCGCGGCGCTCGGGTTCTCCTTGAAGGCTTCGAGGTATGTGATCAGGAAGCACGACTGCTGGAACTGACACAACATGTTGAAGAAACCCTCCTGGCGGTACACGGGGAAGATGAAGTAGGGTGCAGCCTCGGCACGCTTTACGAGAGACTGGAACTCGCTGACGTCCAGCGTGGTGGCCACGGCGTCGTCCTTGTCGGCGTGGAACTCTTCCCAGATGTTGCGGATCTTGGGTGCTTGTTCGCTCTCCAGTAGCTCCATCTTCACGATCTGCTCCAGCGAGCGGGCGCCGGGGTACGAGAAGCCGGAGCCAGACTTGGAGCTAGCAAAGCTGCGCGCATGGCGGCTGGAGAGCAGGACACGACGACTGAGACGTAGCGCAAAGGAAGACATCTAAAATAATGTACGTGTGGCTGCTAACTGAAGTAGCTATATTTAGCGTTGTCCACATAATGGCTACGTTTTTAGTCACCAGTTGAAGTTTAAGGTGGCAGATCATTAGTCACCACTCTGTAGACACCCAGCACCGCTCAGGCTTCATCTGGCATGAAAGTCATTCCTCAATTGTCTTCGCCAAGACAACATCAACCTACTTCATCACCACCAAGCCCCACTACTTGAAACATGCGCGTCCCTGTTGCTGGAACGGGATCGTTCGCCAAACACTTTATCGATGAGTTGCCAGCTGCCGGACACGAGGTCGTCGTACTAACACGGTTGCACAAGGACTTTTTGGACGGCAAGAAGGGCCTCGTGGAGCAACGCGTCACTGACTACTCGTCCGTGCCGCGGCTCGTAGAAGTGATCCGAGACTGCGACGCAATCGTCAGCACAATCGCTGACATGATGCTGAGATCCACCTGACGTTGCTGAAGGCGTGCAAACAGTGATCCAGGTGCAAGCGTTTCATTCCGGGCGGAGTACGGCGGGAACTCGGAGGACTTCCCCGAGGACGCCGACAACACAACGTTCCGCTAAAGAAGACACTCAGGGCACAAAGCGAGGTGGAGTGGATATTCATCTCGTTGGGGTGGATCATGGACTCCATCGTCCCGAGCAGCAACCGGAACCACCCCACCTTCATCCGCTTGACTTGGAGGCTCGAACCATGGCCATTCCGGGCACAGGCAACGACGTATTCTCGACTACCAGCGCACGCGATGTAGCCAAGGCGACTGCGGAATAATTGAAGAGCAAGAACAAGTGGCGTCCGTACACATATGTCCGAGCCATAAAGACGACGTGGCTGCAACTGGACGAGCTGGTGAAGACGGTCGGCGTGGTGTCTGACCTTAAGGTTTCGTTCGAACCCGTCGACGAGATAAAGGCGGCGCTGGAGAAACAGGGGTCAAAGTTTTCTGCGCTGCTGGCCGAATTCAAGATGCTCGTGCAGTCTGGACGATGCCAACTTAGCTTGGTGAACTACAGCGTGGTAGTGGAGAGGCGTGGGTTCGCCGGATACCTCTTGAATGCCTCCCTGGGATTTCATCGCACAAGCACTCGGTGTTCGCTCTAGTACACGAACAACTGGCGCTACATCATGGCCCGAGTTCGCCGTGGCAAAAATTTTATCTGGATACGAGAGGGTCGTCCAAATCGCTGCCGACGTGGAATGAACACCAAACTGAACGCGTCGCACACAAACCAACGTAGACTGACAGTCTTCTGTCGGCACGTGAGACCAGAGATCCTCATTTAAGTCGTGCCAAGCTGCTGTTAGTGAGCCATTAGAAAACTGGATACCATTCGCAGCAAACACGACCGGTAATTAAGGCACTGCGGCCTCTACAAGTTGCTTGAGTTCATTCAGCATCAGGTCATCCTTTTTCACTTTCTGCTGCATTTCTGCTATTCGCTTAAGGCTGGTGGCCTCGCCAACTCATCGTTTCTCTCGAAGTAGCGCTGGATCCAGTCAGCATTGCTCTGTACTCGATCATTTTAGTGCTCGGCTGCGTGTCGGGCGCGAGCTTGCCGTTCGGAAAAGCACCGTCACGCTGTTCCCGGGCCCTTCGGTGATTGTTTTCCGCGACGCAGAACTGATTGATGAGCCTCCAGCTCGGCGACGAGACCCCTCAGTATCGACAGCTCCGCTTTCTCACGGCCTCGCGTCGAGTTTCGGTGCCGTGGCGTGCGCATTGCAATCAAGCTTTTACACTCTTGCTGAATGCTGTGGCAAATTCAAATTGTCGTAATCAGTCGTCGTGGACGCACCTTTCGGTGTGACTCAGCGGTACATGTACATTGTATTCTTACAGACAGTTGTCAACGCCGAAAATAATTGCGTGTACAGGGCATACATGTACGATGATTGAGAAGACGGATGTGTGGTAAGACCCGCGGCATATTGATACTTAAGTACCTTTATGCCTGATGGATCGAATACATTGCAGTTTTACATGCAACCCTCGAAGTTCGAATCGAACAGCTCCCGTCTTGCATTCGTCTCGGTTTAAAATGGCGAGCTCGACTTCATACAATCAGTCACGAGGAGCAGTTGTAATAAGCTTAGAGCTTCGGCCACGAGAATATCCGAGTGCTGGGCCAGCATAGCTAGCACCGTCAAATGGAATGTCGCCGTCCGTAAATTACGGTAATGCTGTCAGACTGAGGCACCATTGCCCAGTTCTTGCGTCGTGCAGTTTGCAGTCCATGAACAAGGCAGCCACCATCATTCTCCTTGCACGTTTGTCAGAATGTTGATTTGCAATGTCTGCATGTACACTTCTGCACTGAAGGAGCAACCTGCACCACGGTGCTGGCAGCACCACTCTTAGGAGAAACATTTCGGCTAGCACTGTACATTATGGGCTCGTAGATTTGCCAATGGGTTTGGTCGACGGACTTGCCCCTGGCAACCATGACAGGACGGCAGGCTGTCGAGCAGCCCTGTACGTGCGGCGATTAATGATTCGCTTGCCGACTATTGCTGTAGCCGGTTAGCATCCAGCAGCAATCACTCCAGGGCCGGTATGGTAAGCATGTGACAGTCCGTCAATTCTGCTGAGCAACTTGTTCCCGCCGCCACGCTTTCGGAGCAAATCGGAGGCTCCTGGCACTGGAATTCTGAAGATCCGCTATTATGTGGACCACGTCAGAGAGCCATTTTAAGTTCAGATCATGTCATGATGCAGGAAGCGCACAACAAAGCTCTGTCAGCAGTGTTAGCCTAACACAGCACTGGACGCGAGAACGCCAGCTGCAAGACCAGTCGAAACTATGTGTGGGGCGGATTATGTCGATGCATCGGTCGCTGTGGACCGCGTGTGGTCCCTCCATTCGCCACGGTCACCTCATTTGTATCCGCAATTAACGTTGGATACGATTAACTATCCATTCGTCCACTCCCTACTGCATATGTATATGTATTAATACAAGCAGTCATTGTTGCCGAACTGATGCGCGTAAGCAGTGCCGTCAAACCCACATTTGGCTAAGAAATTATTGTGTCCCTCCTGCTACGAATAAAACCTGCGGTCCATTTATGCGGTCCATTTATGCGGTCCATTTAAAAGATCCGCCCTTGATACTTAAGCCCATCTCCCACCTCGTCTAAGTATCTTTTACACTTGACCAACTTATGTAATCTGATTTCGCGTATGTTCTCGAAAGTGTATCCAGCATGGTATCCTTTAGCGGAAGCCTTCGATATTGGACGTCACATCCAAATCTGCTTCGTTCGACGCAAGAGTCCGCTGGAACTCAGGAGAATTTTCATAATGGCGGATGCGATTCCGGTCGACGCTGTGACCCCCGCGCCCACGGCGGCGCCTCTCGAGTGGCCTGAGAACATGACCACCACCCAGGGTGTCATCATCGCTGTGCTTCCCTTCGCTGCGCTCATCTTGTGCTACGTCATGCTGCGCATCGTGTGGCGCGTGCCCACGCCGCTTCCTGTACGCGCGCCTGTGCCTTCGTACGGCGCCACAGGTGAGCAGCTGCAGCCTATCACCGCCGTTAAGACGTCGCTGGTCGAAGAGGGAGAAGTGGCTGGAGACTACGAGGAACACTGGTACAACACGTTCGACTTCGCCTTCCTGGTCGGCATGGCCGTGTACGCTGGCGTGATGCTAGTCCTGACTTTCTTCTACGAGCCGCAGTGGCTGCATGAGACGAGATTCTGGACGATGCAGTTGCCTAAGCTTGTAGTCATGATGGTTGTGTCGCTCTTCGGTGGAATCATCTGCCGCTGCTTCTGCGATGTCGACGAGAAGGGCTACATCATGACCAACAAGTCGTCCAAGTTCAAAGTCAACTACACACGTAAGCTGCAGCACTTTGCCGCCTACATGGTGCCGCTTGTTATTAAGTCCGAGTACTCTGGCCCGATCGCTCTGGCGTGGGGCGACTTCTTCACCATGATGGGATTCCTCGTGCTCATCAAGCCCATCCGTGAGCACTCGAAGTTCTTCATGCTGCAGTTCAACTCGCTGGATCGTCCGGAGGACCGCCCCAACACGCTCAAGTGGATCATCGTGGGCAACATCGCTCCGGGCATGTTCATCCTGATGTTCTTCAAGTGGCTGTTCGCTGCTCAGGGAGCTCTGACGTTCATCCTCGTGTTCATCACGGGCATCGGCGACGGTCTGGCGGAGCCTGTGGGTATCACGTGGGGTCGCCACAAGTACAAGACGCGTAGCTGCTTCTCGAAGAACAAGTACACCCGTAGCTGGGAGGGCAGCGCGTGCGTGTTCCTGTCTGGCCTGGTGTTCCCTGCTCTGCAATACGATGCGTTCGACAACTTCTGGCAGGTGCTGCTGTCGATGCTGATCCTGGCACCGACGATGGCGTACGCAGAGGCGACTGCTCCGCACACGATGGACACACCGGTGCTGATGACCGGTTGCGGTGTGATTCTGTACGCCATCGTCAACCTAGTCTAGGCGCTGTCGCGACATTTAGAGGAGAGAGCCATCGTGCGCCACCCTTTTAACCCTTTTAAACACTGTTTGAACCAAGTCTACCCATTAAATCGTTGTTGTTAGATGCCACGAGACCTCCAGTTGCAACTGTCGAAGTCGTCGTCGGAGTCTTCAATGTCCGAGTGCTTTTTCTTTGCCTTCTTGTGTTTCTTTTTGTACTCGCTCAGCACGGCATTCGTACCTTCCGTCTCGTCGTCTTCTTTGACCACATCAGAAGCAGTGTCCAGCTTCCTTTTCTCTGTTTTAGGCTTATTGTTGCCGCTGCGAAGGCTAGTTGCACGCTCCAGCGCCACGCGGTATCTGTCCACGTACTCCATGTTCTCGAGCTGCTCGACGGCCTCACGCTCCTTGGTCTCGTCAGCCTGGACCGACTGCTGCTCCACCTCGGCTGCGAAGTCCAGGAATGCCTCCCACTCGGACTCAAGTTGCTTCTCTGCCAGCTGCTTCACGTCCACATTGCGGGCCTTGGCGTCGGCCAAAGAATCGTCGAAGAAGCCCGCCGGGACTGCTGGCTTCGCTTGGATGGCAGTAGAGCTACTAGACTTTGCTGCAGTCGGCTTCACCGTGACGGCCGACGCCTTATGACGCGTTGTGGCAGCGCTGGGTTTCTGCTTGGCCTCTTTCATCAGCCGCCGGATCTCATCCTGCGCGCCGCCCATTTTCAAATGCTTCAATTGTATTCTGTAGCTCTTAATTTGTACTTTTTGTGATTTGTGATTTGTGATCAATCGTTGACGTTGAAGTGATATTGACGTTATGGACAAAAATTGCGGAATGGGCCTTATGTCATCTCGAAGCCGGCTCCAGACGAGATGGACGTAAGCAGCTTTGCACGGAGCACCTTGTACGACGAGTACGTCGGCAGCTTCAACGTATTAAAGCACGTTGAGGAGCTAGGCAGCAGCTCGTCGTCGCTCCGTATTGGGATCTTCTGTACGCAAAACTGAGGCGTGAGCGAGGCGAAGCCCAGCGATGGAGCACGCTGGCAGCTTGTAGTAAAGCGCAAAAAGGCAGCTTGTTCGGAAGGCGTGAAACTCGCCAATGCCTGCCACAGCCATGCTACGCGTTTGTCCAACGCGTAGTAGCCACCGGCGTATCGGGAATTGGCCTTGAGATCATCGACGTCGATCTTGCCGCTCTTTCCCGAAATAAGCACTTGTAACTCGGGCTCATTGAACATCTGAAGCCAGCGCGGGTCGATGAGATCTGACAAGCCCATCCTGAAGGCTGCGCACTGTTCACGGATCTGTGTGTTGAGATAGTAGTTCGCAACAAGATGGATGTACCGCGTTTTGTTTCGGTTAGTCACGGGAACATTGCCACCGCCAGGGATGATCTCGATCTCTTTTTGTTCACCGAATATCTCTTGGACAACCGTGTGGGTTAGACCCAGATCTTCCACGTCGCCATCATACGACTTGAGGAACATCAGATTCTATAAGAGAAAAACAAATTAGCATTGCAACTATTTGCTAAGCTGTATCGCAGCTGAACGTGCCTTGTAGATTTCCGGATCCAGAGATGGCAGTTCGTTGAGCTGGTTGAACGAATGGAGGAGTTTCGAGAGGAAGAAGTGCGCAAACTTCGGCTGAACCACGATGCCTTCATACAGCGCCTTTCCCAGGATCCGACCGACGAACTGGAACATCGTCAAGTGGTCGCTCTCGCGCGAAAAGTGGCCTGAAGCTGAGTTGGGGTTGGGATACAACAGCTGGTCGTGGGTCGTTAGGAAGAGTCCATACTGCAGATCAAATGCAAGCGTGGACAAGTCCAACCAAAACTCTTTGAAAAGTCCGCCAGCATCGATTCCCACTTCTTCGCGTCCAGCAGAGTTCACGAACACCACGTTAATGCGTTTCTTCAAGTTCGTCCGGATGGAGTTCAGTTTCCTCAGACCGTCTTCCAGAATAGCGCCGCGATGGATACGGATACGGTACACCGAGCAGCTTTCGTTTTGGTGAAGTTCCTTGTCGGCCTTGATAAGTCGTTGGAATAACTTGACACGGTCACTGAAAGGGACAAGATACGGCATCGATTGAATTAGCTTGTTGGCTCGAGGTGTGCCCAGCAAGACTTCTTCAATCAACTGATTGCTATCGAGCTCAGCAATGCTCCTGCGATGCACGTACCAGCGTTAGTTGCGTGTTATTGTATACAATATCTCCTAAGCAGCAACGTACCAGCTCGTGACGTTGCAAAAAGGCTGACGAGAACATCGATTGTAGAGAACTCGCATCAAACGCGTCGCCATTTCGACAACAAACATGCCAAACGCGACGGATTCGGATGATGGCGCAAGGTTGGCGTAATTCCAATACGCCTCATGAAGCGCATGCTTCAGACTCAGAACAATGCGTTCGATCTGGCAAAGAGGCAACGGATACTCTTGCCCGTACATCTGCACGACACATCGGCACAGTTAGTTCATCATCAGTGAAGAAGATAACCTTGCCAACACGATGCAAAGCTCACCTCCTCATCATCCATGACAACCAGAAGGTGCTCGTACAGCATACAAAACAGCACCAACATGCAGACATACGGGTCCGAACTACGCGCATGAATCAAATCCACATTCTGCCGTGTAACATAGTTGTGAGCCAGTTGCAGATCACAAGACAACAAGACAATTGCTCTACCTTGGCAAAGTCTTCGAAATTCCTAATGTCTTGCAGTACACACCACAGCATTTGAACCAGAGATACGTTCTGCGCTACATCATCTTCGTCGCTCTCGACAACTTCGACGTGATAGAAAGCCAGCGTGTTGAGTAAACGCAATGCGTACGACTGCCGCTTCCCGCCATCATCCCCCCACCGAAAGAGGAATGTCCCGCACAGACACGACAGAGCCTTAATGTTGTCCAACACGAAAGGGCCCGAGCTCTTTGACAAATTTATAGTAGCTGCACGCTGAGCTGTAGATGACGAGGCTTTTCCCTCAACATCAACCCCGCTCACAGCAATCTGGCGCGCTTGTCTGGAAGTATTCTGCAGCTGAGCAGCTTCACCGACACTGTGGCTCTCTTGATCGCCCTCTCGTCGACGTCGTAGTCCTGCTTTTTCGAACAAATTCCGAGCCCACGTCGCCTTGCCGATTGATTTCATCTTCTGCCACGTCACCGAAAGTGACGTTGACAGCGAAGTTGCCGATGCGATGTCACCGAAGCCAAATTGTTCCTATATCTCACGATAAAGATAAATGTTAGTTGAGATTCCAGAGCGTACAAGGTGATCGTCCCTTACCGCAATTGTCGGAGCTTCAGGATACATCGGTATCGGTCGTTGCGTGGCCAGTGGATGGCGAAGAGCGCTTGGGGCAAAAGAAATGAGGTGGTTACACATTGAGCGGAGGTACTGGTCGTTAACCAGAATTTGTAGCTGCTCGCTCAGAGCTTCAGGGAAAACCACGGGCACGGAGTGAGACTCGGACACTTTTGTCCACGTGACAGCCACTCCCGAAGCAGCGTACGTTGCGGGTGGCACTGATTGAAGCAGCTTCGACAGCAGCTGGACCTCATTTAACACGATAGCGTCGGTTTTACCCTCCACACGGTCAGAAATCCAAAGAATGTTCCCTAGAAACCAGGCTTCAGACGCAATTCCAGTGACTGGCGAGGCGGGGAAGTCAAATACTGACAAGTGCAGTCCCGCACTAAGCAGTCGATTCCACAGCGACAAGTTCGTGAGTTGGAGAAGTCGATCAGTTGCTACCACTTGGTTCAACAGCGGCACTGAAAAGACCTGCCAAACATACACAGCTCAGTAGACCACACGCTAGTAAACTACAGTCAGGCATCGCCCACTTACCTCCATCACAAATGCCTCAAGAATTCCACTTGTTGCAGTAAGAAGATGCACCACAAAATCCATCAAAGCGTTGCAATACGGAGTCTCCTTTACACAGGAAGACATCGGGAGCTGACCTCGTGCCAATATCAATTGCTGTCGGACAATTTGCGTCACTGAAGCTGTCGGCATGTCGTTGTAGAGCAGCTTCCGAGCTTGTTGCGGGCGAAGCACAGTCAACCGCCCCGAGAGCAAGTACTGTTGTATCTCTGGCAGCTTTTCCATCAATACTCGCACCACTTTGAACCCTACACGTACTTCTACTGAGGACGACGAGGGAGAGCTACATTGCAAACACAAGTCAACGAGGCGTCGCAGCTGCCAGTCGCGCTGCTTCTCCTCGCTCTCTTTGATTCCATCCGAAGAAGCAGCCAGCGTGTCTAAAAGCAACGAGCTCAATTCCAGCAGCCTCTCAGTGTCTCCCTCGCTTCCGGTGTAGAAAGACAGTACCAAACGCAGCAACTACATCAATAAATCACAAAATCTTTAGTTAGCGTCTTCTACAACCCGTACGAAGCTCAAATGACTCCATTTCTGTAGCTTATCACCTCAAACAGCGCGTCGTAAGGCAAAGGCATGCTGGGAAGTTGCAAAATAACCTTCAACTTCGCGATATCGCCCAGTTTCTGATCAAATTCGGCGCGAGAGTGTGTCCGCAGGCGTCGTGCAGCCAGACGCCCACGCACAAAAGCCTGCAGATGTCTTGCTGCTGTCTCCTGATCCTTCCGTCGACCCCGTGCCTCTCGCTGCTCCCTCGCCAGCTGCAGCACACGAGCACGGTCGCCCCGCCGACCCCCATGGGCCAGCTCGTTGTCCCGCAGGAACATTTTCGAAAGGAAATTGGAGTGAACAGTATCAAATTTTAAAAAACTAATTCCTTTCAACCAATCGAATTCATTCAAAACGTAGCCATGTGAAATAGCGCTTCAACTTGAAGCGGAAGATCTTATCGTCACACTAGTGAGCTCAGACTAGGTTGACGATGGCGTACAGGATCACGCCGCAGCCGATCATCAGCACCGGCGTGTCCATCGTGTGCGGAGCAGTCGCCTCTGCGTACGCCATCGTCGGTGCCAGGATCAGCATCGACAGCAGCACCTGCCAGAAGTTGTCAAACGCATCGTATTGCAGAGCAGGGAACACCAGGCCAGACAGGAACACGCACGCGCTGCCCTCCCAGCTACGGGTGTACTTGTTCTTCGAGAAGCAGCTACGCGTCTTGTACTTGTGACGACCCCACGTGATGCCCACAGGCTCCGCCAGACCGTCACCGATGCCCGTGATAAACACGAGGATGAACGTCAGAGCTCCCTGAGCAGCGAACAGCCACTTGAAGAACATCAGGATGAACATGCCCGGAGCGATGTTGCCCACGATGATCCACTTGAGCGTGTTGGGGCGGTCCTCCGGACGATCCAGCGAGTTGAACTGCAGCATAAAGAAAATGGAGTGCTCACGGATGGGCTTGATGAGCACGAGGAATCCCATCATGGTGAAGAAGTCGCCCCACGCCAGAGCGATCGGGCCAGAGTATTCGGACTTAATAACAAGCGGCACCATGTAGGCGGCGAAGTGCTGCAGCTTACGTGTGTAGTTGACTTTGAACTTGGACGACTTGTTGGTCATGATGTAGCCCTTCTCGTCGACATCGCAGAAGCAGCGGCAGATGATTCCACCGAAGAGCGACACAACCATCATGACTACAAGCTTAGGCAACTGCATCATCCAGAATCTCGTCTCATGCAGCCACTGCGGCTCGTAGAAGAAAGTCAGGACGAGCATCACGCAAGCGTAAACAATCATTCCGAGAAGGAAAGCCAAGTCGAAGGTGCCGTTCCAGTGCTTCCTGTAGTCACCAGCAACTTCCCCTTCCTCAACCAACGACGATTTCGGGCGGCGAACCGGTCGCAAGGAATCCTCTTCAGAGGTAACAGAGCCATACGAAGGAAATGTGTGTTGAGGCAGCTCTGGAGAATCTGGCACCTTCCACACGATCCGTAGCAGCACGTAGATCAGTACTAGGGCGATTAGCGGCAATGCCACGAGAGTGGCGCCTTCAGCCACCGTAAGTTCATGCGTCCAGTTCTTCGGTACAAACGTGTTTAGTGGCTCGGGTGTCACTTTCGTCGAGCTCATGGACGCTCGGTAGAGAGAAGACAGCAATGGTCCAGCAAAGAAGTTGACGGCAATCTCTTCCATCAAGCGGTTGGTTGTGGAAGTGAAAATGAACATGCAAAGAGCTTTATCGGGTGACAGGGAAATGAGAGAGGGAATCAGCCCTCGCCTCTGACTGGGATTCTTTTCTTCAAACACGTCGTCTCCCAGATTGTCTCAATCCTTCCTAGCTTGGTTGGACAAGAAGCGAAAAAAAATCATTGACCAAAATCAGACAGCATTTGCACAGACTTCCTGCGGTCTAATTGCGTTAGAGCAATTGAAATTTAAGGCAACTTAAGATTATGTTGCTTCTTCTGAATTCATTTTTTGCGCCACTTTTGTCCGATGCATCACGCCGATTCTTCAGGACGCGGACCGAATGCTGCGCGGCGTGACCCGAGCGGACGACGAGACAGACGACGAGGTTTTGGCTGAGCTGACGCGTGAGGGAGAGGACCGGTTGGCGTCCGAGCAGCGTGCGCGGCAGGAGCGACATGCTCGAGACTCGCGCTGGCGAACGTTCATGGTGGCCGTCATGTTTCTGAGCCAAATATTCGTGGAGCTGGGTAGGCGAGGTCTGCAGTGTTTCCAGCGTAATGTACCGCGCTACGTCGCGTTCGTGGATCGCTGGTTGGTGCAGTCCATCCGCGTATCGGTGTACCCCAGGAAGAAAATGGGCACACTGCGAGTGTTACTGGCGATTGGGCTGGCCTTCGCGTTGCCCTACATCGTCATGACTATCGGACGTATGCGTTATCCAGCAGGAAGAGGGGCAAAAGTGAGGTGAGAAGGCTTCGTAATTACACTTGGCGCTCTTAAATGTGTCGGGCGTTGACGAGCTACCCATATTGTGGCGTATGCAGCGCGGGAGAGCTGGATGAAGAGAAAATCCGCTCGCGTATAATTGTGGACCGAGTTGACACCACGATGCCAGGGCGACGGCAAATGTTTTTGCGCGAAGGAGATGACGGACTGAAGCTGGACCAAACGCAGCTGAGATGTGAGAACACCGTCCAGGGTCTCAAGCTGCTAACAGATTCGATGGGTAAGCAATGAGAGGGTTGAGGTTCTGCTCGCGTGTTGTATGGATTGATCTTGCAGCTGATGGTAACTCAAAATGGCTGGTAATTTATTGCTACTAGGCTACGTGTGTACTCGGTCTCAGCTGGACAAGGTTAAACCTGGCTGCTGCAATGAGACCGACGCCAGTCTCCCGCGGATAAAGCAGTACACTTGCGACCAGTGTGATACCAACCCGCCGCATTGCTGCGATGTGTTTGAGCACTGTGTGTCCTGTTGCATGCACCCTCTCAATGTACGTTCCGTTCAGCTGCAAGTGCAGTTGCGCACGGTACCATTTGCGCGGTTGAGTCAGCACTTCAAGACCTGACCTTGTCGAACTGTTGTGGTCTTGGGCTGTGTGTAGTCCGGTATCCGGAGAGACTTCTTGACGCACGCTGACCCAAACCACCCAGTTTATAGCGATCCGGCCGAGATCACGGTATTCCAATACTGTCAATACCGCTGTCGCACCTCATCCGCGAGCGTCCAGCACCAAAACTCTTACCGAAGGTGAGTGTCGTGGCCAATGGCGCTGGGTTTACAGTACCTAACCGAAATCTCGGCTTGCTGCCTTGCATTAATACAGTCACCGCTCGTTTTGCTACGGCATTCACCGGCCGCTCAAAGTGTTGCCGACCGTCAACAGCGATGGTCTCCATGATGAATGGTTCGTTCTTGCACGTGGTTTCAGTCCGCAGCCGCGCCCGCACCTGCAGCTTGCTCTGACGCGCTGTCTAACCTGTGCATACCTGTCTTTCCACAGGAGTGGTGCGTCTCGCGAGGGCGCGCGTGACCACCTCGTTCCCGCCGCGCAACTCGAGCTGGATCCGTACTATCGCTCCTCCGAGCTTCTGGACTGAGCCGTGCCTCGCTCATAAGATTGTGGATCCGACTTCAACATGGTCGCGTACCCATCGCTCGTCGACAGCTTGATGATGGCCGGCGCATCGAGCATAGCAGTTGAAGTTGGTGTTCGTCTTCGATCCACAATTTGCATATCCAAATATCAAGCGGCTTCTCCAACGTCTACCTGGTACGCGCCATGTAAAATGGCTCCGTCAATTTTCTGTTTCGATTTCCTATGCCTCGGTCCTGGCCAACACAACTTTGCTGTGACTAAAGGGCAACAGACAGTGTCCTAATCGCAGCTGGGGTCACAATATGCTGCTGGAGAGGCCTTATATGCCGTTTCAGAGCTTATTGAACCGAACACAATCCTGTCAGACGAGACGACCAAGAACGCAAGGTTGGACCAAGCAGAAAACAAGCATTTAGTAACGAGATTTATGCATCACCCTGGTCGAGGATACAAAATATGCCAAGGTTTCCTTGGCAGCTTTCAGGTTTCTCAAGATATCGACTTTAACAGGCTTTATAAACAGCATTTATGCGGATCGAACGGTACTACATGTACGAAGCCGAAAGTGTCCTGTGTGAACACAATGTGCAAATTGAAGCTAGCGCGCGGCGAGTTCTGGCAAGGCAAAGCTCCACGAATTGCAGTGGCGCAAGTACTTGCGTTGGCTCGTGCTGCCGTCTGTCGTCACCTTCCACATCGGGTGGGTATTATTTATTTTTAGTCAAAATGTTTTGCCATTATTGCGGCATTTCCCGCTCACAGCGTGTCACAGTCCTGGCAACTGCAAAACTTGCAACTTTCTCTTCAATGCAAGTCGCTTGAAGCGAGTTAGGGGCTTTTTGCTGCATTGACAGGCGACTCGACGATCACTGGTCAAGGCGATCTCCAACTCTGCGTGTGTCGCGCAAAGACTCGAGCGAGCAAGGGATACTTCACCGGGCTTATCCAAGCCCTACAATTTGTAACTTGAGCAGCACTGGTTTTGGCAGTTCTTGCAAGTGACTTGGACCGAGTATGCTTAACTCAAAGTTTTGCCATTAAACACAAGAAAGCGGTGCATACGTCGCTGAAATTAATTCCCTGTCGAATACGTTTTCATGTAACATGTCTCAGTCGAATTGGCACCTCAGAAGCCAGCTTCTGAAAAATGTCTACTCTGGAATCGCATAGCTTCAATTTCGCTCTGAAATCCGAGGTGCACCATCGGCTGCTTTCAAAGGGTGGCACCTGCAACGAGAAGAGCTGCGCGTTTCTACTGGGCCTCACCTCCGAGTTCCGCTTTGTGGCTCGTAGAGAATGTATTATCCAGCGGTGCATCAGGCCACACAACAAAAAACGCGAATCTAGAGAACACATACTGTCTTGTCTGCACGGTGACAGACAGGAGGAGCAATTGCATTGTGCATCCGTCGTCTGACCGCTCGATTTGCAGACTCGATTTTGTTCTCGCGGCCCCCGCACAGTCCCTCTCTCGGAGCGTTCGCGGCCGCTTAGGTGAAAATGGCGCCGTCCTTTATCTCCATGCTCATGGGCGCCGATAAGCGACCCAGTCCGGCAACGACAGCAACAGTACCGACACAGCCCTCAAACGTGACACTTCCGCACCTAGTGCGGGGCCGTTCGGCTCGTGCCGATGGGCTACAGTTCGGCCTGCCTATGGGTGGTTTCCAGCGCACGCCGTTCGGAAACCCACAGACCGCAATACCCCCACAGGATAGCTCTACGACACATTGGAATGACCGACAAAAGGTGCAGGATTTCTTCCGGCATACAACTAGCAACAATCACCACAACGATAGCAACAATAGCGACAGCGTTACGGAGGATGAAAAGGCAGCACAGATTGATAACAAGGCGGTTGACGTCCGGGAACTCGTTTCTAATAGCACACCGGACAGTCGGGACTCTTCCACGACGTCGTCCACATCTTCCGAGGACAACCAGCAGGACGAATTGCGTGGTGCAGTACGAGGGCGTGGACGATTACAGAGCGCATTGGAGGATCTCCTAGCCAGACAACAGGCCGAGGAACAAAGTCACCTCGATGAGGAACGCGTGGAGGAGTCCTCACTCAGGAAGAAGGAGCGTAGGAGATACGATTCCTTCGATATCATGGCCGACGTGCGACTCGAAGACGAAGACCAGATGGATGATCTCGACTCCGTGTACTCGACCCCTGCACGATCACGCAACAACAGCGAGGATTTCTTCGGTGGCGGCTTACTAGATATGCTCTCCCAGCGACATATGCCCGCAGGAGTGGACCGACACGCCAGTGTAGCAGACATGCTGGCCAACCGTGCGCTCTCCACGCCGAACGAAGACGTCGATGAAGAGGACGAACCGCCAGTAGCAAGACCAAAAGACAGACCCGAGTCTTCTGTACCACAGAAAAGTATGGACAGGTCCAATATGTTGGCTGAGATGCTTGCGAAGCGAACTGCCGAGTCAACGGATAACGGCGGCCCCGTGAAGGCTCCTACCAACAGGAATAACGCTCTAGATGCGATGCTGGCACAACGCTCTTCCCCTCCGACGCTGGCTTCTAGTGAGGCACCTACGCAGCCGAAATTTAATCCGCTGGAAGCTATGCTAGCGACGAGAAGTGCATCGTCGCCACCTCCACAGACAAAAGAGGATTCCGGAGCTGCACACCCATTGGCTGCCATGTTGAAGCAACGCCAAGTGACCCAAGTATTACCAGCTGAGACGATGTCCCCAGCTACACCATCTGATGATAACGGCAGCTCGTCAAAGGACCAGACTCCACTGAAGGACCATCCGACGTACCAAAAGTACTTCACGATGCTCAAAGTGGGGCTCCCACCTCCTGTCGTCAAGCACAAAATGCAGAGCGAGAACGTGGACCCTTCCGTCTTAGATATGGACCCAAATAAACCGCTTCCAGAGGCTCCTGCACCCGTTTTAGACGACGAAGCTGAGGCCGCATACCAGACGCAGTTGAAGGAATACGAAGCGAAACACGGCAAGTATTTGCAGATGGTCAAGGTGGGTCTACCTCCTGCTGTTGTGGAGCACAAGATGCGTATGGACGGAGTGGACCCCGCCTGGTTGCAGGGACCTCCGAAGCGACCGGAGCCGAAGCCTGCAGCCACGTCCGAAGTCACAGATGAGGAAAGAATCGCTCATCGCAAGAAATACCACAAGTATTTCCAAATGCTTCGTCTAGGTTTGCCTCGTGGTGCAGTGGAGCAGAAGATGCGGATGGCTGGACTGGACCCGGCAGAGCTGAACGGACCTCGAGCTGCGGCGGCTCCTGCTGAGCAGCCGAAGAAGGCGTTGAAACGCAAGGATTCGATCCGTAAGAAGCTGCATTGGGAGGGGAAAAGGACGCGTGCACGTCGTGACAGTCTGTGGGGCGGTGACACAGTGGAGGAGGCGAAGGAGCAGGTCCAGATCTCAGAGGAGAGTCGTGCAATGCTCGAGAAGTTATTTGTCAAGGATCTAACAGAGAGCAAGAAGCGCAATGCCTCGACCAAGTCTGAAGGAGCTGCTGCTGCGAAGAAGAAGAAGGCGATGGTGCAGCTGATCGATATGAAGAAGTCGCAGAACATTGCCATCACTCTTGCGCGTGTCAAGCTGTCGTTCCCCCAGCTCAAGCGCGAGATTTTGGCCATGAACACGACGGTGTTGTCTCCTTCTCAAGTTCGGTCGCTCATGGACATGTGGCCGGACAGGAAGGAGATGGAAGCCGTCAATGCCTTCCAAGGCGACGTGGCAAGTATCGGCACTGCCGAGCAGTTTCTAGTGGAAGTGCGCAACGTGCCTCGCTTCCAGGAGAAACTGGGATGTCTCGTCTTCAAGCAGGAATTCCCCTCGCGCGTGCAAGAACTCCGCGAGTCGGTGGACCTCGTGGCACGAGGAGTGTACCAGGTGTGCTCAAGCGCTGAACTACGCCAATTATTTATTTATATTTTGCAGATCGGCAATCTGCTCAACTTCGGCGGCGACGACGAGCAGCAGGGCGTCGACGCCTTCTCGTTGGGCTCTTTGGTCAAGTTTTCGCAGACGAAGGCTTTTGTGGGCGGCATCACCTTTTTGCAGTACGTGGTGCAGTCGATCGAGCGAGATGTGCCTCATCTAGCGCACTTTTACAAGGACATCGACCTAGTCCCCAGGTGCAGCAAGGTGGCGTATGCCTCGCTCGCGTCGGAGAAGAACGGATTGGAGACGGGTCTACAGAAACTGGTTCGCGAGGCGGAGGCCTGTGTGCCGACGTCGGATGCAAGGCAAGAGGACAAGGAGACGACGAGAGCGTACAATGAAGCGTTGATGGTGTTCTGCAAGCAGGCCAAGACGGAGCTGTATGCGCTGCAGAATCTGCTGGACAAGCTGAACGCGGCGAAAGCTCATTTTCTCGAGTATTTCGAGGAAGAAGATACCGAGGAAGAACTGGACGTGCTGCTCTCACATATTGCAAACTTCACGAGTGAATATCGTCGCGAACACGGCAAATATCTAGCCAAGATGAAGAAGGAGATGATGAGTCTTTACTCCAAGATGTCGCCGGCTAAGAACCCGGTGAAGGTGGAGCCAAAGACACCGAACGGCAAGATGCATCACGGCGCTAAGCTCCAACAAGGTCACCATGGACATCAGCCCCATAGCAAGGCCGCACACCCTCATCGGACCTCGTTGCCGCCTCAGATCAACCACCCGCAGCCGATACGTCAGATCCATCACGCGCGGGTGCTCCACTTGGAGGTGCCGCAAGACGACGACATGGACGATGTTTCGTCCGCTGCGTCCATGTCGCCCAAGACCAGTGCCGTCCTGTCTGGAGGCAGGTCGTAAGAGTTGCGTTCACATTTTCAGGGCTGTTTTTCGTTGCTGTAAATACTGTCAGACACCTATCGTTAAGACCAATGCAAGTATTATGAGGTTGTGAGGTTGTTCGCGCTCTATTGCACCACCAAAGGCAGTTGGAAAACTCTCTTGATTGCCATGGAGCTACGAGATCGGCCAACAGACCAGCAATCGAGTGCAAGTGGGAGAGTTCGGATGCTTGAGCCTTGAAGGGCTTTCCATTAAGAAAGCACAAATCCTCTTGTCATCTGCCGTTCACGACGGCCATTTTGTTGACGACAGTGTCCGTCATCACCACGTTGTAGTGGCGTAGAGGGATAGAGAGTCAAGACACGAGCATGTGCTGAAGCAGACACTAAGCCAATGAATGACACTACAAGTAAAGACGAAGTTGATACATTGCTTTATTGATTCACCAAACGCTTAAATACTTGACAATGGTTTTCACGTAGACTACTGTAGACTGGATGGTACGACGCCGATGAATACAAGCTTGAGACATAGAGACAAATAGGCCTAAGCGATAGAGTACAGCTCGGGCAAAGTCGGAGATCGACTCCTTGTTCTTCTCCTCCTCATTTTCCAATCGAATGAGGGATAACGTTGACGCAGAAATTGTAGAGAGAGAGAAGGACCGAAAGTCCAGGAGTTGATCACCCGAAGCTGAGGACTGTCACACTCTTCAGACGGCTAAGGCAGCAGCAACAGGCTCTGGCAGGTTGAGATCAACAGAATCCTGCTTGTCCTCGCGGATGTGCATGGTACACATGCCCTGGTTGCGCGAGAGCTTCTTGCAGCCTTCGACCTTACAGAGGCGACCACGACGGTGCACCTCGCAGAAACCACCGCCACGGTCGGTACGCACGCAGCCCTCGATCTTGCAATTGCGGAAGCCGCCGTGAGTGGCGCAGAAGTTGCCGCGCTGTGCGCCCTTGGGGCAACCAGCAGCCTGGCAACGCTTACCTCCACCGTGGGCGCGGCACAGACCGCCGCCCTGCGAGCTTTTGTTGCAGTTAGGGAACTTGCAGCGTGCACCTCCGCCATGAGCCTTGCACAGACCATGCGACTGAGCCGCCTTGGCGCAACCTTCCTCCTTGCACTTCTTGCCACCGCCGTGGCCGATGCAGAATTCACCATTCTGACTCGATTTCTTGCAACCTTCAATGCTGCACTTACGACCACCGCCGTGTGTCTTACAGAATCCCTTGGAGCGCACACGACGTTCGCAGCCGCCCACCTTGCAGGTAGCCATGCTCTTTGGAGACTTGGTGGTCGACTTGACGTGAGCAGCAATGGTTGCCTGTGCGAACTGGTCCAGTTCCGGCGAACGGAACAGCATTTCCTGCTCAATCTCAGGAAGAAGCCGGTCCAACGAGTCAAAGGCCGACTCGATCTGCTGGATGTCCTGAGGCATGCCGGGAAGCGCGGGCTTGGGGGCAGCGTGTCCAAACACGGAGTAGGCAATGGGGTCGAGATCGTCCATGGCAACCTTCGTATTGTGGTCGGCATGGGTGAAGGCAATGGGCTCGACGTTCATGGCCGATGAGGTAGGCTCGGACTTCATCATGCGTTGTGACGGAACCTGGTACTGCTGCTGGCCCATACTTATCTCGAGAAGGTACTGCATTTCGTTCACGTGCACCTGGCGAGGAGGCATCGGCACGTTCATAGATGCTTGGTACCCCTGGTGCTGCTGCATAACTGACACGTAGCCGTGGCTGTGATGCCGTGCGAGTGTTGGCGGCACGCCCATGGCGAATGACGTCGGCTGTGACTGCTGGTACTGCGTGGGGGTCATCTGACGGACAGGCATCGAAGTGTGGCGGGTGAGCACTGCTGGAGGGCAGGCGAAGCCGAACTGTTGTGGCTGTTGAGCATACTGCTGCTGTTGCTGCGTCCGTGACCAAGCGTCGACGTCACAGCCCATCATTCCCATGTCACCGAGAAGCATGTCCGAGTATTGGGCCTGCTGAGCCATGGGGGGCTGCAGTGTACGCACAGTCTTGTTAGCCATGTTAGAGGGCCGTTGCTGGCCAGTAGCGTCGTTGTCTTGTACGCTTTCAATGGACATTTCCAAAGCTGCTAAGCTCAATTGTCTGGAGCAGCTCGATTTCACAACTGAGGCTATCGTCTCGGGGCGTCGTGTGCTGCTGGAGAAAGGAATGGGGGCTGGCTTCACCACTTGTTGCTAACGATGCGAACCTGCTTCTGCACCGCTTGAAGGAAGTCTCGTGGCCCAGAACCAGGGGAACGCGCGCTCGGATGGGATGCCTTCGCTCCTCGGGATGTGGAGCGGTTGCACAACGAGATTCGCCTTCGAATTTCGAAATCGAACGTAAGGCGAGTGACGGTCTCGAGTGTGAGAACAGACCGACGAGGGCTTGGAAAGGCTAGAGCTCGCTTTGGGATCGGTCCAGCGACTCGGTACGAGTGTTCAATTCGGAGGGAGTTCCCAAAATGAAGAGTGAGCGGCAGTGGCAGCCTGGAAAGCGAGGATCACTGTCTCGAAAACGGCCGCGACAGATAGTAGACCAGCCGGCGGATGCATACGCCTTCGAGGGTTGGTGTTGTCGTGACCGATGAGCTATTATAGTACATGTACACCTCCGCGGCGGTGGTCCGACTTCCTCTAACCTGAACTGACTAGCTGCAACGAGTCAGCAGCATACAAACACCAAGTTTTCGCCGAGAAGCATCTGGTGGAAGCACTCCTCGCAGCTGGTGACGCTCACCCGAGACCAACACACAAGGTCCGCCACTCTCCCACTCACCGCGACCAACATGGCAGGCGAGAGCCGTGGATTGAAGTGGGGCTGTCGCCGGCGACTCGCCGTAAGGATATTTCGGGCTGCTTTTCAATCGCCGAAAAGCGCGCAGATTTCACTGAACAATGTTCAGCGCTGAGTCAAGAAGATGTCGCGCTTTCATGCAGCACGAAAGTATCGTGATGTCGACGTTCTTCAATTTATCTAGAAAGTGTTTTTGCTCGCGCGAGGTACATGTAGCGAGGTTGCGAGAGCTACAGTACTACTGCAACGTGATCGCGTCCTCGATCCATTGGTTTCCGGCGGCCGGCATGGCATTGTCGTGCATGTCTAGCGCACCGGAGCAACCACCCACCGAAGTGGTTGCCTGGCAACAATCCTCATCCACCAAAATACACTTCGTGTCTTTGGTAGCAATACATTAGGCCTAGCAAGCTGTGGCAGTATTGCTGTACCGGTACGTGCACGCTTTTGAGCCTCGCACTGTTGGCGGAGCTTTATTAAAGCTTTTTACTAGGGTAGTAATAAAGCTCCGCCAACAGTGCGAAGCTCAACCTTCATACATGTACTACGGTAAAATAAAGGGGCTTATGTCTTGATCTGCACAGCGCGATTTCACTTCAAGAATATGACCGCATGATGGTGCAGCGTCGTGCAAGACCCCGCCGTCGGACTCCGACTCGGAGCGACTACCAACAAGAATCAGCACACGGGAGCCATCTCGCTCCAGTGGAAGCCCGTACGTCTTGCGCCATCTCTCTATTTAAATTAACGCACGGTTTGAAGCAAACTTTGCTCGGTTGCTACAGTGTACGGCTGAAGATTATCGAGACTGCTGAATGAGAGGTGATGATTCGGGCGGAGATCGTGTTGCCGCCTTCCATTTGTTGACGGCAAGTGTAATTTATGTAATCAGGAGGAATGGCAAGTGCAATGCTACAGAACAATACTGTACACTTACCATATTAATACTGGGACCTGCAATTGTGTTTTCTTCAGTGGCGAGTCGCCTCAGTAATCTCTATTAGAAGAACGGTATTGTAGTTGTAGTAGGGCGTTTAAAAGACCTGCATGTATTAATACAGAAGTATCAAATGTTGCGACGGGTAAACCTACAGCTCATGAACGGGAAAAGCGTTTAATAAAGTAGTTGCAGAGCGGCAAGTCAGGTACTGTATGCACAAGCGGCACGAAGTCATCGCCTCGCAAGATGCACAGTACCGGTACATGTACAGTAATGCACAATGTATGCTACAAATTTAATTTTTATAATAATACATGTACAAATAGGTACATGTATTAAGAAACATGTTGTTCTAATAGTTTTGGTCTAATACATGTATTTTACAAGAAATGGATTGCTGCGACTTGATAAACTCACCCTTCGAGCTGCATTTGCGCGGTCTGATCATCCCTTTCTAAAGACACTATTATTCAGTCGGTCAGTTATAACTTTCGGTTGGCAAATTGCCAATGTCAACGCCGACAAACTCGGGAGCAATGTGTACAGTACCCGGGATTCTGTACAGCACAGTGTGACTGTATATGTACTATCCTGGCGGCCAGGGATTTCTTCACTTCAAGGAATCCTTGGGCCTGGTCGGCGCGCTCCGCGATTGCGAATGGTCTCAACTAGACAAAGTCTCACGTCATCTCCCTTGTACGACACCGCGACGGGCTCGAGAGAAAGGCTTTGGCTGACTGCCAGCCAGCCAGCAGCTGGCCGGGATCGCGTCATCGAATTATGAGGGACCCTCGTTCAGCTCCGGAGTGATTACCGCAACCGTAAATTGAGACATTTATGGTCGTTTTAAAGACTTTATGGTTGCGTTACCCAAATTCATAAATTACCTGCGAAACTAAAATCCAAAAAAAACGATTCCGTCTTAGGTACGTATCTGCTCTTTTAAGTTCGATTCGTTTTAAATACGATCATTCTGAGCCTCCCATTTCAGAAATTGCGCGGGAGCGAGAAGAACGCGCGGCTGCGCCAGGAACACGAGCTCCACACCCGACGCTGACGCAACTGAAGACCCATGAGTCGTGCGCAGGACGCGGCCAAGCCTGGTACGTACTGCAGTACTTGCGCCTGACGCAGCAAAAGTTAGTTTGACCTTATGTGCGAATCCGTAGACTGGCGAGGACGTACGAGGCTGCGAGATCTGTATGCGGTAATTGGCATCGAATACGCCAACGACAGCAGTAGCGATGATAGCAGAGACGAGGATGCGTCTGCGGGCGAGGAGGATAGCAACGCGGAAGGGGAAGATTTCTTTTTGGAGTCAAAGAGTGATCTATCATTGAGCGCTGGTACGCACGTTTGCTGTCATGTTAATTTTTTGCGATGGGCAATTACTTATATTAACATTGGGGTGTGTTTTGCAGCTCGTGTGCAACGCAAGAAGACAAAGAAAAAGAGAAACGAGAAGACACACGCAGGTAAAGTTGCTTTAAAGCGGTTGTGGTTGATTTAGCGAAGGTAATTTTATATTTAATTTGTTATTTTAGCCTCTACGAAGAAAGAGAAGTTAATCCGCGAGTCACCACACCTGCGGTCGCTGCCGCGTCCCTCCAAGAAGCAGAAAATTGGGGGACAGTCGGGTCCGGCAGAAGGTACACAGCGTGAGCGATCCAGACTTACACGCCTGCCCAAATCCACTGCAGATTACACGCCTAGAATCCGAAAAAGTAAGCACCTAGAAGAGATGGACTCCATGAACGGTGGTGGTGACGACGAAATAGTGAACGTGGTGTAGCCGCTCAGGCCGAAGGCACCACTTTTGCTGTGGATTGATTTTGAAAAGGAATTCAAGAAATACATGGAGAAGAAGAATTTAAAGTTTCGTGTGCGGAGCTCCGAACGAACGGCGTCTTACAACACGTACGCTTGTTTTACTGGTGTGATCTGTCTAAATATATTCATGAAAAGGGCTCTTATTTTGTTTTAATATAGCGCGCATCAAGCACAAATCCCTACTTCGTTTGAGTATTCGGAAAGAATCTACCGGTGCACTCACGGTGTATCCCAAAAATCAAGGTCCGAGGGGCATCGCAATCGAAAGCAGCGGTACTGCAAATGCACAGAACGGTTAACGGCCACCGTGAGTCGCGTTTCGGGCAATCACTACGAAATCGTGCTACGAAACCAGGTTCGAGACTTATTATTAATGTGTGCGTGATAAAGAATCCGGCTGACATCTATAAACTTGTTGCTGTTTCAGAACCATACCCACTCGCACGACAACAGCAGAACACAAGCTTCAAGCTACTTGACAACGGCGACGCTGCCGCTGGACGAACAAGATCTGGAGGATGTGAAAACATTGGCAGATGCGCGTGTTTCTTCTACCCACATCACCAATTTCTTGAACGACCGCATTGGTTAGTTGTTCATTTTTTATTATGGGTGGTAATATTCAATCTAACCGACTGGTATGCAATGTCTTCCGCTGTAAAGATTGTAAAGTGACACCACAGCAAACCAGAAATCTTCTCCGAAGTATCATGGGGCCAGATTCCGCTCAGGATCGTATGAAAGACTTGCTGCATGCTCTTCGACAGATTGAAGGTAGCGATGTGCTCGTTATCCAGGACCAGATGAACATCAACTGTGGAGCCATCATGCAAACGAAAGTGCAAAAGATGATGTTTGAGCGGTAGGGTGAAACCTTGACGATGGACTTCACGCACGGAACGAACAGTCTTGGCTACCATTTAGGTACGTTCAGAAAAGCAACCTTATGTTTATAGCAACCTTAAGCGCAACCTTAATTTTTTACAACAACCTTGAATCTCATTTGGTTGCTACTGTTGTGTAGGGAGCTTGGTTGTCACTACGTGTACGGGTAGAGGGTTCCCAGTGGTTGACTTTATTTGCCTCAGTGAGAACGCTGTCACGATTAAAACGATCTTGGAATATTGCAAGGACAAAAATCCAAAGTGGAAAGACGTCACGAGTGTGGTTATCGACAAAGATTTTGTAGAGTGGCAAGTGCTAGAGGAGTGCTTTCCAACCGCCCAGGTGCTACTCTGTCAATTCCACGCCATTACATACTGGAAAAAGGTGATGAAACGCAAAGTATTTGAGCTCAAGATGGCACAGAGAGAAGAACTTATCGAGTTGCTGACGAAGATGCTGTATTGGTGCGTTACAGTCAGCGAATTTCTCTTTTGCCTTTTCACTCATTTGTTGTGGTTACTGGCAGCCGCACACAAGACGCGTATGTATCTGCATATGATGCAATGAAGAAATACTGCAAAAAGTCAAGGAGGAGCAACTTCTTTGCATATTTTGAAAAAAATTGGCATTCGTGTCGACAAATGTGGTCGAACTATGAACGCGAAAAACATTTTACTGCTGGTAATACGACAACTAACAGGATCGAGTGTAACTGGAAATACTTGAAGATGCTTCTTGGCCTCAAGACCAGAATTGACAAGACGTTGGCGGGTTTACTCCAGCACCAGATGATCATCACGCGGCAGATTACATCTGAAATCGGGAAACAGCATTCTTCCTCTCGATTGCCCAAGACGGTTCCTACATTTTTAAGGGCCATATCAAGGAGGCTCTCTCCGTTTGTGTTGGATCTGGTGAAAAGAGAATGGGAAAAATTCGTGAACCGAGCTGAAAGCACAAATTGCGAGCGCAAAGTATCCGTTTCGAAATGGGATGTTTACGG